AAATCCTGGTGGCAGCCATGTTTGTTTTTATTATTAGAGGACGCTTACGCGCGTAATCGTTCCATATTTGGAATTCGCATTTCCTAATATGGTAGTATGAAAATACCCCGTAAAATACCGCAAAATTAGGGCACGCTGTAACTTATGGCGTTACGGTGACAGATGTATAATAATATGTAATAAATAAAACATGATATTTATGTATTGTCTTGATGATAAAAATACACAAACAAAACTAAATGAATGTTAAATATGATTGTTGGCACTGAAGATAAATACTGAACTAAATTATCAGCTGCATACTAAATATTACCAGAATTAATTAAAAAAAATCCCAGAGACCTAATACTCAGTTCATATTATTAGTAATCCAGAAACTGTCAGCTTCACACATGCTGTTATTGTATTCTTCTCAATTGGTTGAAGTGTAGCTATAATAAATAATTAATTTATCAAAGTTTTTTTCTTCGTTGCGAATAAAGGAAGCAAAGTAAAGATGTGGTTTTAACGTGATTAAAGTGTAAATGTTAACTTATTTGCTAAAAGGGAAATATAAATAGCATGATATGATATCAGTGTTTATTAATAACTTTTATGTCTTAGAAATATAGAACGGCATTATATTTTACTACTGCACGTTTATATTGTGATTTTTTTCTGACTTCTGAAGTGTTCATAAAATTATTGCTTTAATTTCCTCATTACAAGCATGAACTACAAACCATACTCGGGATGATCAATTAATTTGAAAATCACACACAACATCAATTTACTTGGTGGATACATTGATCTAACAATAAAGGACACAATACACAAACAAATTTAAGAAGGAGCAAACACGTTAAACAGCAGCTAGCAAATGGCAATTGCTTATGTCAAGAGTGCTGAGTTTTCAGGCGAGCCAGAGCGGAACGAACGATGACAGGAGCCATTTGAACAGTGATGCGGTTTATAGCAGTTGTTGTGGCTGCTTTTCCATTGACGCTGTGAGTACACCAGGTATTAATGCACGTGTATGGATGTGGTTGTTGACAGTTTGTTATAAAATAATTATACTGTTGGCAAGCTGAAATGATGGTACGTGATTGGTGCATCTATTAACGCACTAAAGACAGGACACAGGGTGGGGATTCTGCATTATTCCGATGATGATTGTAATCAAAATTACAAGTACATATACAAACATATAAACACGAGATTTGAACTCACAAGCAGAATATGCATCTCACCACTGTTAGCTGACACACCACACTGTCCCAAAAGAACATCTTGAAATAGCGTGTATTGAATGTACATTTATCATGACTAGATTGAAATGCACAACTCAAACTTGCCAAAAACAACATGCCATGAATGAATGCAACATTGCCTATAGTTAAGTGTTGCTGATGGATTTGTGAACAGTTTGAACTCTAGGAAAGTATCAAAGTTAGATTTAGAAGGGACGCAGTAATGTTTCATGATAGCAAGAGTTCGCATAACCATTCAGCATAATGTCTGAATTTGAAGGTGAGAATGCGAAAGACTGGTAACTGCCATGCTTAGGACGACCATGTGTTGTGAGAATATATGAAGGTATAGCATTCAATAAGGAAGCAATTCACATGTTGAATATGAATAATTATGTTTAACCAAGTTGGCTGCCTGATTACAAATTATGCTCATACAATTTACTTTAGCCAGCACATACATTCACATTCATTGAGTGAACAAGATATTATGTAAACTCCAAAAACCACACAGCCATTTTCATAAGATATATTACCGAACAATTAGTGTAAATATTCTCTGTGTACTATGTTTTGCCAGAGATGACAAATAAATGTGTATTCTACCAGTAACAATATCATACACTGTGTTCTGTTGTATGTCATTATTCTTGGTTTTTGAACTGCAGTTTGTCCAAATTCATTTTATTGTCTACTTGACTTTCTAATGATCAGACCATACAGGGCTAATTCAATATCGACCTCCCGATGTGGACTGTGTTGTGGTTCCAGTGAACACCTTTATCAGAAACACACTGGAATATTAGATAATTTGTGAGCATGATATGGGTGCGATCCAAGTTGTTTGGGACGTTTTGATGCTGCTATGATATCTTCCTCTATCAACCGGGGTCTCTAGCACTGCAAAGTTTATACTTTTTCTTAACAAGATATATGAAGAACAGTTTTCAGCACGTTCAGTCGAAAACGAAAACACAATGTAAATATGTTACATAGAAAGACATATTTGACCATGCCAAGGTTGTCACAGTTTTTATTTCAAGTAAAATGACGTATAACGTATAACGTCTAGATGTTTTAATGTATAATTGGATATTCAATAAAATCTGACACCCTGTTTGGCTGTCTGTGGTTTAGAACGCATTAGTTTTACAAAGAAATCAAATGAAATTGCCAACCGCCGCGTGAGAGAAAATTCAAATCATGTTGCCGGTTGTGTGTCAACGGTAATATTATTACCGTCATGGCGGCCCAGGAGAACGTGGAGGAAATAACGTCAACTGTAATCTCAGGTTTCAGATACAAAAAAACAATAATCATACTCCTGAGTTATCAGTCAATACAAACAGATCAGTTTACCAATGAGACAGTCGTGACCCCAGCCTACTTGTATGATAGAGTACACTACCCATATTCTCGGAAAATACAAAGCATGATATATATGCATTGCTTTTCCCGGTGATTAAAACAAATTTTGTTTTAAATACAAGGTGCTTGTCTAAAGTTGTGTTTTGATAGAGTGTTTTTTATTAGGAGAAAGACTTTTTATTAGGAGAAATCAATATATGTCACATTGACTTGGCTGCTCGATTACTCTTGGCAATAATGGCGTGGGTTAGGTCAAGAATACAATACAATGACACGTTCTTGGAATTCCCACCATTACAGATAAACATTTTAAGCCAGCACCAACAACCCTCTGAGATGAGAAAGTTGATTCATGAGTTAAGCTAATACTGATAATTACTAATATATGTGTGAGAAGGTCATCAAATGTTAATTATAAATTCTGTTGATCTCAGATACAGATTTATTCGTAATAATACCATGGTACTAAAACTGAATAATACACTAACGTAAACGTGCAGTCTTAGTCAGTTATATATAGAATATTACCATAATTCATTATTTAAAAAAACAAACTTGCATGATATCTGTTAACGACTGGGAGCAACGTGCATGATATTTTGTTGTAATTTTGTGGTTGTATATCCTGAGGAATCAATTTTTCAAATTTGTTTCCTTGCTTGTAAATTACTTTAAAAGCAATGGAAAGAAAATATAAATGTGGCTTCTTCGTAAATTCAGTGTAAATGTTATCTATTGGTTAAAAGGTCATTAGGAATAACAATATGTATTATCACTATGGTCTTACGAACAATGTACAGGAGAGAAAACATTTCAGTAGAGCATTGTACGTATGTACTGTGAATTAAAACATAACACAAAACATTTCATAACTAAACATTAACACTGAGTGATGTTTTGAATGATGTTGACTGACTTCTGTAGTGTTTGTAAAGTGTTCGTAATTGTATCGAGTCAGTTACCTTCACATCATTCAATTTCAATCGAATACAATGGATCGAAAATCGTTAAATGTCAAGCTCATTTGTAATTGACAAATCTCAAATTGATATAGGAATATGCGTGTGATAGCACGTACAACAGTTGGCAACATAGAATGGTATGTATATATTAAAATTGATATTGTTGGTTCAAAGTTTTAAGCTGAATATGCATTAATGTACACTAATATATATGTATTTCGCAAAAGATGGTTTGATCATTCAATGTACATGCAAAATAGCAAGTCGATCTATTAAAGCAAAAAAACGATTCACCAGATACAAGTACATTGTATCAGGGTACA